AGACATTCAAAGGAACGTTTTATTTTACGAAACTGAACCACTTTCTCTGCAGCTCTAAAAAGCAAGGATGTGAAAGCCACAGTGTAGCCTTCCCATGGCTCCCTAACCTAAAGTCCTCCAAATGTTTTCTGTAGGGCTGTCAGTCGATTAAAATATTTCATCGCATGATTGTCCATAGTTAATCGCGATTAATCGCAAATTAATCGCACATTTTTTATCTGTTCTAAATGTACCTTAGAGGAATATTTTTCAAGTTTTTAATACTGTTATCAACATATGAGTGGACACATATGCTTTATGCTAATGTTTATTATCATTTGAACAATGACAAATATTCTCATGAATATTAAACACCACAACCTCTGAACATTACAAATATTCGCCTCAATTCAACCTGGAACCTCTCTCATACAATAATACAAAACAAATGGTGTGTGTGTGTGTGTGTGTGTGCGCACACGTGCGTGTATGTGTGTGTGTGTGTGTGTGTGTGTGTGTGTGTGTGTGTGTGTGTGTGATGGATCGTTGGAGCTATGTGCAACTCAAGGCATATGCTCGAACGGGAGCTGCCTTGACGCTGCAATCATGTTGCGCACTATCCGTGCTGAGTGTGCTGACTGTTCGTACAATGTCCCACTGTCTGGCTTCCTGCATAAAGTCAAGTGCTCGGCGCAGTTGTGGCGAAATGTCGCTCCTCTGTTTTCATTTAAACAGCTCCATATCCGTTAGTGCAGCTAGCTAGCACCAGATGCTAACAACAACAATGCACGTAAGGTCTCTCTCTCGCTCGCTCGGGCCACACATACACACACCCTCCCGGTCCTCCCGATGGCCAGTCGGTGCCTGCCGGTGAGCGTGGAAGTGTGGTCTGCCACAAGCGGGCGGCAGGAGCGGGGCTGTCAGCATCAGCTTGTAGACGGTATTTTAAACTCGATGCGCTCTGAAACTACGTTGCGGCCGAGGAAAAAAAAATACACATGCGTTAATCGCGTTAAAATAATTAGTGGCGTTAATTATTTTTTGCGTTAACGCGCTATTAACGCGTTAACTTGACAGCCCTAGTTTTCTATAGATGCTTTATGTTACAGGGAATGTAGCTGGCGTTTTATTATCTGATATCTGTTGTGTGTTAGTCTGCTTGGTGCTGAACAGTGATGATGCAGTGTCCCTGTCCTGGAGCCAAGGACAGACCCCTGTAGGAGGCAGAGCGGAGCCTGATGGAAGGGGAGAGGGCTGAATGGGACAGAAGAGACTCCTGAATGCACCTTTTGTTGGGGGGAAATTGAATAGATCATAAAATATAGCTTTATGTTTATACAACAGTATAATCACATGAATCAAGACAAGAACTTTGACACACAAACTGTAATAAACCATAAACCTGTGCATAAATCAGTTCAATCTATAATAGGCAATGCCCTTAAGGGGCAGTAATGTGATTTCCTCCACACTCATGAATTATGAACACATAAGGAAGGAAGACAAAAGGGGTAAAGCTGAGCATACAGTATATGAATGTAGATCATCCGCTGATGTGAATCAAAGTCCGAGCCCAGGTTAACTGCCCTTTAAACGGAGAAGTTATATTGGACTCCAATATGTATAACAAAAAGCATGCAAATTAAGATATAAATTATAGATCACTGGATGAGATGCGGGGGGATTAACAAAGTGTAAGATAAAGGTGCTGCATCAATCTCCCATACTGATTTTAGCTGGGAGTGAAACTATTAAGATCACAGAGGTGTTACCTTGTGGAACTGACAATAAGCCATCCACTCATTTACAATTCAGCTACCCAGAGTGACCCAGTGCGCAAATGAGGAAGCAGCTAGCAGTTTAGTGTCTGGCTCAAGGACACAGCGCTGTTAATGGGTGCGCTGCCTGTCACAGGGATCAGACTCGTGACCTTTCATTACACAATTAGTTTCTAACCACCGAGGCCTTCTTTTCTTACAATTTTGTAATGTGTTTCACCCACAACAGTTGGTATTAACCTGTTAAGCCCGAGAGACCCTGGTTCCGGGGGCCTCCTGCAATATCTAGCAGAAAACAGTGTCTGAGGGCATGTTCATTTAATAAACTATGAATGTTTTATATCCATGTAACGGAAAGAAACTCATCTAACTGATCATTTTAATTTGTTTTTCAAAATAAAACTCACAATGCTAACGCTGAGCCTCTGAATTAGCAACGAGCGAAAAATGCTAACAGATGACTGCACCGACATTCACTCACAAAACCTTATTATTTATCTTTGCTGCACATCTCAACCCATCGTTTCACATCGTGAGGGGACACAGCATCGATGGTTATCCTCATTATCACTCAATCATACGAACTCTCGGAGATAATAACAAGAACACACATCAAAACATATGGAGCTAGTTAGCCAAAAAACGTCAAAATGGCTCACCTGTGTGGTAGTCTGGTCAAAAGTGGTCTTCAATGGCATTAAAACCATAAAAACGATGCTGAAGTTAATCCATAGGTTAATCCAATGTGTCTGTGTCACTTTGAATGATTTCTGATAATCCATGAGCAATAATTCTGCTTTTCGGTTTTGAGATGTCAGACCTAGAGACAGCTTCACTCTGGAGCAAAATGGGGTACGCGAAGACGCCATCTTTTTTTTAACATGAGTGTGTGTGGGACGATTTCCCTTCGATTCTATTGGCTCTAACGGTCAGAAAGAGATGTCACATGTCAAAATCGAAGAAGGGGGGCCAGAGATAAGGAAAATCCATGGATTTTCCTTATCTCTGGCCCCCCTGCACCCAAATGGCCCCAGAAGAGTTTTTTTGTGCTAAATCTGTCTAAAAAGGTCACATATCACTTGTTTTGCATCAATATGGATACAGGGTACTTATTATATGTTGTACTTTGGATTCCTAAAGCTTTTAGTCTACTAACCCATCATCCAAGGTTAGTTTTCACTATAAGTACAAAATATTTTTTGGACTGACACTATAATTTACAGTTTTTTACCATGTTCAATCTGAATTTTCTTTCAAATAAAAAAGATCTGCATTGATTCTGACTTTTCTACATCCAACTCACAGGTTTATCATTACTTTGAGAAAAAAGATTATTAATTTAACCCTTTTAGAAGGGAAGATATGGTCATTTGTTCTGGGAATGTCATTTTCGAGCCTGAGACCTGAAAAACAGGCTCAGGGCTTAACAGGTTAAGTTAGAATAAGTATTGTGCTTTATAATGAAATGTAAAATAAATCTTGTTTTAAAAAATAATCTAATCTCTGAATTGTTCGCTATCAGACGGTTTAAACCGAACTGGCTGATACTGCAGGGTTTCTGGACTTCCCTGTGCACCAAACGTTATTTACACTTCGATTGGCAACTTCCTCATCGAAGAAAAATGTAGATTAACCCATATAAACAGATGTCTGTATATTAATGCAGACTAAAAATGAAAAGGCCAATTGAAAGCCAAATCCTTATCAGGTGATAACCGGTTGTTAAAAATGCAATCACTGAACCAAAGCGTCTCGCCTCTTGTGCTTTCCACACAAACTGTTTACCTACTGTAAATGCAACCAAATTCTGCTAAAACCAGATTGGTCACTACTATTTGAACTAGAAATCAGAGTAAAAACAGATAACAAACAGAAACCAGAGATACCAAAATCTTGTCTCGTTGCCCGTTGATTCTGGATTCATATGCAGATATTTGTTTATAGAGATTAAGGAGGATCCTAACTCATCACTCCGCTTGTCAAGGCTCAATTATGTCTGACAAATCCAGAGGAAATAGTCAATACGAAAGCAGCTTGGTGAAAGGCAAAAAAATGGCTGTTACGCTTGACTGAATATTTCAAACCACGAAGCCTTCTTATGCTTCCATGATAGGAGCCATAAACATCCATGATGGCGGCTGTCAGCTGATCCCCATCTGGTACATTTGTGACCATATTCATTCATGACTGCAAAGATCTGCATGATTGATGGCAATTAGGTTTAGTTGTCGTTACACAGTTGGAGGAAAAGTGCAAGAAAGAACAGAAAGTCAATACTTTTGACTTCTCAATACACTGCAATTCATGGAGTGAGTAGTTATGGCTTCATACTGTAGTAATGAAAGCAGTTTGGTTCCTCTGAAGAAGGATTATCCCTAATTGGCCCAGCTGGATAAACAGAGCTAGTGGTGTTAGCATACTCTATATGCCAGAGAAAAACACACCAACCTTTCCCCACCTTTATTTAATATTATCTCCCAGCCCAGGCATTATTACATCTCAGAGGATTAAAATGTTCCCCTGACATTTAGTCCCACCTCGCACATCTCCTGTTCTTTTTCTTCTCTTATCATGTCACTCAGCCAGCTAATTTTGTAGATTTAAATAAAAAAAGTCTGATATCCGTACATCCTTTTACCCCACATCTCTTTTGGGCTCTGGCCCCATCCCAGGCTCCTGATTCACCGCTATGTCCGGAGATCAATATAAAGGCTCTGTCAGGAGGAGCCACTGCACTCCTCACCCCCCTCTCCCTCCCTTCCCCTTCTCCCCCATGTCTCCACAGACTGCAGACATACAGCCTGCTGGGAAGCTGGCTTTTTAACATCCCATACTGAAAAGCATCTCCTCTTCCTCCACCCCCCCCTTTTTTTTGTCTCTTTGGATCACTTTTCATCTCTGCACCTCAGATGAAGAAAAAAAAATGCACAGAACCCTAATGGGATCCTAAAAGATGAAGGAAACCAGGATTCTTTTTTTGGGAGCCAAAAAAGAAACAGCCCGAGAAAATAGGATATCAGTGCAAGACACAATGTGAAGGCAAGACACAATGTGAAGAGAAGACAGGGATGTGAGAAGGGAAGAAAAAAAAACACAGGGTGAGAGAGAAGTTGTGCATTCAGCTAAGCTGCAAAAGGCTGGCTCGTCCCCCCCCCCCCCCCCCCCCCCGCCTTCCTCCACCCCCTGGAAAAGTGTTCCGTCTCTCTCTCCACCTCTTTCCTCTCTCCCTCGCTCTGCAGCTGTGGTCTGCTGAGCGTCACCTCCACACAGCAAGTGCCTTTACTTGAGCAGAAGGGGGAGAAGGGAGAGGAGCGAGGCTGTGAGAGAGCTTATCCCGGGAGTGTGTCTGAAACGCAACAGAAGAGCATCTAACTGTTGGAGTAGAGCGCTGGTGGTGCTGGCAGAACATGCATGAGTGGAGACGGGGGAATCCAATAGTGCTGTTGATCCGGGAGTCCCTGGCAAAAGCTGCTTGAGCAGGAGACTGAAAACAGCGCAGCAGCCAGGATCTCGCCAGGGGGGCAACATTTTACAGCGACAACGATGCGTGGAGACAGCTGAAACCTACACACACGCTGGAAAACACACATGCATTCCACTTACACTACAAACCTCTTCTTTTCTGAAAGGCACAAACTTGCACAGATACAGAATGGTACATTTTCCTGTCCGTGGATCCTGGATGATGGAGAGAAAAACTTCTGGAGAAGGCATTTTTTTTTAAACAGGACTTAATGCAGAGATTTTCACACTAAGAATAACTTTCTCGATTCGGGGGAGTTGGAGGTTTAATCCCTCTATCTACGCACAACACCACGTAACCTGCTATTCCTAGTTGCAGGAATTGAGAGCGGTCTTTGAGACCATTAAAATGCCTTCTCCCGATTCAGTCTGAGCAGTAAGTGGATTATGACAGCAATATATTGGGATTTCTTCGCTTGAGAAAGGAAAAGAAAACGAGAGAAAAATATCCATGACCGGTGGATTTACGTCGGTCAGAGAAGGAGAGGATCCCGTGCGTTTTTTCCTCTCTTCTTCTGTGGATTACAGATGGGCTTTGTGATCTCCCAGTGCAGTCTCATGGATGATCGCTCGCTGCCAGTCATTAGGATAAAGTACAAAGAGGGACACAAGTGAGTATTCAGCTGGATTTGTATCTCTGAAGGCTTAAGCTTGTGTGAAAACAAGGGTGTCGGAGAGGAATCTGGAATGAGAACACTTCGCAGCAGCTTTTTTCTTTCTATTTCAATAACAGAAAATCCAACTGGTTGATTAAACTGCTGTACTGTGTTTGATGGAGTGATTATCAGGGTGGTAAGGTAGACACACATCCTGAGATTTTTGTGATATTTAATTAATTGTTACAACAAGGATCCTGTATGTTTACAGACCATTTGCCAATGAACATAATTTACTAAATGAGGGGTACTGTCTACCCGGCAGGTGGCATGGGCACAGGCGGAGATTGATTGAAGTGATCTGTGTGAATCCTATTAATGCATCCTGGACTCTGGCCAAGGCAGAAGCAATGGAGGGTTACACCGCTGTCTAGCAGCCCTATCTGATCTGCACCCACACTGGACAAACCAAACACCCTCTGCACCCCCTCTTCAGCAACACTCCTCCTCTCGCCCAGGCAAGGATGGTACCTCCACCCCCCACCAACAAGCCCCATGTGTGCCTGTCCACCATCCTGATCATGAGCAGCATGGCCTTGATTGATGCCTACCTTGTGGAGCAGAACCACGGGCCACGAAAGATTGGCATCTGCATCATGGTGATGGTAGGTGACATCTGCTTCCTGATCGTCCTGCGGTACGTAGCGGTGTGGGTGGGTGCCGAGGTACGGACAGCTAAGCGGGGCTATGCCATGATCCTCTGGTTCCTGTACATCTTTGTGCTGGAGATCAAGGTCTACTTTGTGTATCAAAACTACAAGGCGGACAGGAAGAGCCTGGACGCTCTTGCGAGGAAAGCGTTGACTCTGCTGCTGTCAATTTGCATCCCGTTGCTGTTTGTGGTTCTAGTTGCTATCGACCACATGGAGTATGTTCGCGCCTTCAAGAAGCGCGAGGAGATCCGTAATCGTCTCTTCTGGGTTGTGGTGGACTTGCTGGACATACTGGACATCCAGGCCAACCTGTGGGAACCCCAAAAGAAGGGGCTTCCATTGTGGGCCGAGGGCCTGATGTTCTTCTACTGCTACATACTGCTGCTCGTGCTGCCCTGCGTGTCCTTGAGTGAGATCAGCATGCAGGGCATCAACATTGTGCCCCACAAGATGCTCCTGTACCCCATCCTGAGTCTGGTGACTGTCAACGTCATCACCCTCTTCATCCGCGGGGGGAACATGATTCTGTACAGGGACGCCAGGGTATCCGGGATCCTGATGGGTAAGAACATCCTGGCCATCATCCTAAAGACCTGCAGCTTTGTGCAGTACAGGAGACAGTTGCAGAACGCTTCTCCTGCCTTCCGGGTGGAGCTGCAGAAAAACTCAGTGGCCCACACTCGCCCTGCCCCACCCCCTCCTCAAGTGATCATGCAGGACCAGATGCCCCTCCCCGAGGTGACGACGTGTGAGCACACATGACCCCCAGGAGGCTGGGAGGGCACAACGTTCCAAACCTTTCGGGCAAGTGAACACGCATTGATGCTTGACGGCACATAGGACACCGCAGCGAGGACAGAGCAGTGCTTTATCCAAAAGCTGTCATGGTGTAAAACTCAGCATCACATGTGACTTTGCAGTTCCTCCAATGAATTTAGTTAACTGTGTATTTTTTATAACTGTACAAAAGATTTAAAAAAAAAGTAAACTACTGCGAGATTAGAAGATATATTTTTGAATTGTGTGTGTTTCATTCTTATCTTAAAGTTAAGTTGTGGTGTGTGTATTTCTGTTGCTCGAATGTCCCTAGTAGTCAAGGGCTTAACACGATAAGCAACTAATGGGAGAATCAGAAAAAAAACAGTTAAAGCGTTCTCTTGAAGGAAGTGTGTTTTCTATATGTGATTCTTTGATATAAAGTATTGTGTACAACATAATGGCCTTTCTGCTCTTTCTCTGGCTGTAAAATGTTTTTTTATTCATGAAATATGAGTTATTGCACCAATTGGGTTTATTTTACTTGTAATCAATCTTCAGCAATTGCACTTTAATTACACTGGGTTACAAAAGAAAACAGACAACGATTTTGTTTGCTCTTGTTCAATTTACATATAGAGACTACTTAATTGTTCAAGTGGTGCCTTTGGAATATCTTTTATTTAGAAGTGTAATCTTATTTTCTATGATGTTTATTTTGAGTGAGGAGGAAAACATGCAGTTATGAGCAGTTTCATCACTGTATAGATTGACCATCATGCCGTAGCCATAGGAAAGAATACACAGCTCAGGGGCCCCAGTGCAGATAGATAAATTAACCTGAAATAAGGAAACCTGTATCCTCCTCAGGCGCACAGTGACTATATGTGCGTGTGCTTAGTGACAGATCTGAGTAAGCACTTTCATTTTGTTCTTCACCCAAAAGGACAAAATTGATACTTTGGTCCAGTAATATGGATCCAAACAACAGCCAAGAAAAAATCATGCCTTCTAAAAAGACAAATCTCTTAGTGTCTCAAATAATCTTTTTCCTCTCAATCACCATGAGTCAGAGCTGGTCTTTCTCATCCTTATTTTTTTACTGATACGCACTTACTTAGAAGACTGATGGTTATCAGAAGGACAGCCTATGAGCATTTTAAGGAGTGTGTTTACTGGGTGGGTTATTGCCAACAAAGCAAGCGATGCAAAAATAAATTGAACAATGAAGTCAAGTGGTGTGATACGATGTTGTCCAAAAAAAGGAATTATCTTGGCACAGGTGTGACAGTTTAAACAATTATACCTTTTTTACAATAGGCTTCTATGCTTGTACTTGGGGTACTTTCCTTTGCATAATCTCTCTGTCACCACTGACTGCTTGCATTATTTAAAAATGACTGGCTGTCCATTTTTGGTTAAGTCCTTAGAGTGCAGAAGTAGGGCTGCTCAATTAATCGTATTTTAATCGCGATTACGGCTTGCAACGATTACGAAAACAACGTAATCGAAATAAAACGATTATATTTTGATTATTAATAATATTATTATTTTATTTTATTTATTTTTTGGTTTTTCAGTTGAATTATACTTACAGTTCAGGGTAATAAACTGTTAAAAACATACTGTTAAAAATGTTTTTCTCCAATAAATGGATGTTTTCAAAGTCAATGAATAAATCGCATTTAATAATCGCAATTACAATTATTGACCCAAATAATCGAGATTATGATTTTTGCCATAATCGAGCAGCCCTATGCAGAAGTTGGTCCAACAATTTGTATCTGTACAAGCCCCAGTTACAGGAAGGTGGCAACTTCCTGTGAAACAGACCAGGCTATTACATCAAGACTGCTGTAGCCAGCATTATTTGAATGTGTTGGTGTCTTATGAAGTTACAGCATCAGCAATTCTATATGGATTGCATTATTTTTACAGAACTGTAGCAATAAAAGGAAAATAAAAATCATCCTTTAGAGATGAATGCACTGAATGAAAAATTCAGTTCGGGTGATAAACAATGGGGAAAGGCTTTTCTGCGGAAATAGGCTGCATTGCAGCTTTGATTGCGTCAATGACCATGAAAACAACAGCATTCTACTGCTACAACGTCAACAAAAGGTTTTCAAAAGTTAAATACACGACTGTAAAAGCTCTTGAAAAAGACGGCATTCAAGTCTTGAACATCCTATTCAAGGCTGAATGTGTATGTCAAAGTAGAGGAGTAGTGTGGAGAAGAAAACCGCTGAACCTAATTGAACTTATTTCACGACATTCAATGTATGGAGCGCAGAAGCATGCAATGGATAGGTCAGGAGTCGGCAGAGCTACAAAAAATACAAGGGCACTCTTTTTCACTTATATGAGTCTCATGTCTATGACTTTGATGAGTAAAATAAGAGCATCAATGGGCCAATGGGATGCACAGTATGCAACCTAATGGTAAGATTAAAAACCAGGGGCCTTTCTCATTTCGCTAATTCCCCTCCTCGACTCCCCTCCTCGACTCCTAACCTTGTGTCTTAGTCCCGCCCACAGGAGATGTGAGCGGAGGAGTCAAGGAGGGGAAATTAGAGTAATGATAAAGGCCCCTGGTCCCTCTCTCTGTGATGTGATTACTAAACCATTGTTATGGCCTGCAAGGCACATTCTCATGTATTCCCTCTCTCATGTGCAGTCAAACTGTCGCATATGTAGAACAGGTCCTTTACATATAGGCTAAAGCGCTTTGTATTTGAGGTAATGCATTTCCTGCTTTGCTGGCCTGGTTGCCATGAGTGCGACCAGATGATGCACTACACTACAGTCACACACAAAAGCCAGATGGGCGAAGAAGGGATAATGAACTTGTTTTTAACTTGTACTATTAACACACTGTGCAAATACTCCAATCACCCTAAAGTCAATAGCCTACCTGACTTTAGGTCTAAATAAAAAAAAAGTTTTATTCCGTGGCTTGGGAAAGTGCAATCAACATAAGATACTTATTTTGTCAAATCCCGTAATTAGAGAAGTATATCTGGAGCTGCTCCATACCCAATGAAGGGTAGATTGTTTTTTTTTATCTGGGTTGTGAGTCAACCAATTTGTTGTTCTCTCATTTAGCATCAAATGAGCTTTACTTAAGTGTTCTCACTTAAAATGTAAAATGGACCCATATTATGAGAACACTATCAAGGTTGCTTGAGTGTCATATACTGTATAACATCTTTGCCAATTCATATGCATTAAGAAAAAAATTAGAAATGTCAGCTTTCAACCCTTTATACGGTGTTCTTGGAGTTATATAAATTCTGCACTAATGTGTATTTTGCATTTTTGACTGCTGTGGATGTTCAAGGTTTCGCTTATTTTATCCAATATTGAAAAAACGCTTAATTCTTTAGTTTATCGGACAAAATTCAATTATATAACACCAAATTTGGAGTAGTTAAAGGCCCAAATGGACAGAGGGTGTCTGACATGCACATTTTCGAAGTACACCAAATGTTACCTCTGCATGCACCAAAAGTATTATGGCGCACTGCTTTGATGCCCCTACTCTGTTTTTCCTGCAGTTTATTTTGTATCGTAATATTAACTCTACAGCGTGTTAAAATGACAACTGTCACTACTGGTTGGTCACCTCAGCTGTCACCACTTTATTCTGATGGCTATCAGGTTTGTGTTTTTCCTGTATGAAGGCATCTGTACTCTTAAGGAAACAAATACTGCTGGTTCTGTGGTGTTGGCACATCATATCTGAAGCCTGCAATGCACCATGGGAGCATAAAGTGACATGCGCCAAATTAGGCACTGTAATTAAAGCTTTCTTTAAGTTTGGGCAACAAATATGTCAGACAAATTGCTGACAGTACTGAATGTAAATGATTTAGTATTGAATCAACCATAAGTACACTGTACATTTAAGGCAGTGCACTGTACTTTATTATAACTATTTCAAATTGGGAAATCATATAAATAATTAGTTTAATCTCCATATGCTTTTAGTATCAACAAAGCACTAACTTTCAGCATACAAAGCGTGCTAATAACAGTATGTTTATATCATGTAAGAAGGGTATTAAATCACAAAATGATGATCACTCCTCTGGAAGCCCCCAGCGTGCCTTTGGGCAGTCTCCCAACCCGCACCGCCCACCCCACCTCACATCACCCTGCACCGCCAGGCCCTGAATGAATGTTGCATTCATCCAGATGAACATGTTTTTTTGCTTTGCACTCACGAATGTTAATAAACTGGGGTGGCTGTTGGATGCACCTACACTCGCCACATTAACACTGACAAAGCTGCCCGTGCCAAGCAAGGAAGACGGACGGCTGCAGTAAATTCACAGCTCGACCTTCGGTGGTCTTGGACGGCAACGGAGCAGGGTAACAAATATATTTTCCATTGAAGGTATGTTAGAGCATGAGGAGGAAAAACCAGTACAGAAAAGTAATGCTCATCAAGTATTGATTCGCTTGTCGTGAGGGTAACTGATATTTTAAAAGGCCATTTTCTAAAAACAAATAACAGGGCTTATTTTAGGATGAAGCAGAGGAAAATAATGCAGCAGAGTGTATTTAATGCTCCTCTGTAATGCTGTAACTTACAGTAGAACACTCTTACAAACAGTGGAGCAGCTAGTTCACATTATAATAAATGCTTAAAGAGAAATGTGGATTATGTGCACATGAGTGAAGAACAGAAAGATCAAAAAGTAATTCTGCAATATTTTAAACTAAATTCCTCCTACTAAACATATTACACGCACAGATTTTCTAAGCACTTGCACATTAGCTCTTGGCAACATTTCACGTCCTTGAACTATTTTGCTGAGCAGTTGCAATTAAACATTTCTCAGTCAAGACACTTGTGCCACTTTTTTTAGTGCTCTCAATCACCAAATTACAGCGAGTGTAGTTAAACTATTCCCTCACATATATATGCCTTTGTATGCATTTTATGAGAGGAGATCTGAGTGCAGAGTACAGCTACCCCTGTAACAGAGAGAGGTTTCACTATCTTGCTTATGCACAATTCAGCGAGGATTAACAACTGCTGTAAAGTGTGAACTCGGCGGAGGATCAAGCTTGTGACGTGCAGCTAGAGTATGATCTCTCTAATAATCAGGTCACTCTGCAGGACTGCCAGCAAGTTTCGGTCGACCCAACAGGGAACCCAGGTGTCGGGAGATGAGAGCGGGTCGCTCGGAGCGCTCTGAAGTGTTGAATGTAAATGTGAATTATGGAGAGCTGTTTCAATATTTAAACTTGTTGGCAGTTTCTTGAGATTTAGCATTTAAATCCGAGCAATTCTGCAAGTTTTCTGTCAGCAATGTTGACCTATAAAATATTCAGATGGTTTATGATTTTCTGCTGCTGGCAGGGCTTTTTCTCAGGCACCATTTACAAGTGAAGGCATTAGTCAAGCCCTTTAAGACCTTTGAAAACCCATTTGCTTTGTGTCATACCT